GACCATCATTTGTTCCGATCGATGCAAAATGCCCTCACTAGAATACGATTCACACCAGAATAGTGTATCAAAAATTGGCTTGATTCAATTTTGGCCACCAAGCCGGCGCAGTTCTTTTGGGATAGAATGCAAAAATTGCCAGAAAGATGGGAACAAGTTATAGCTTCAGATATTGTACATGTAATTATTAAATAAACGTGAAAAGTAAAAAAAAAATATTTTTATAAATCTTCACCATATTATGGTATTTATTGCACCACATAAGTTTATTTCTTAATTTAATCAACAGTGATTATTTTGTTATATCATTCACTATATTTATTTTGATTTTTTATTTCTTAGTGTGGCCAGATGTTACTTTGTGTTGCTAATTTATATGCTCACTAGTTTGAAATATTTCAAATATTTATTTTCAATTGGTTTCAGTTTTGAAAATTTTTGCACTTATATACACACATACATATTTGTACAAATATGCATGCAAATATATGTAGATATTCTATGTATAGTTGTGCACGCATGCGGCGATTATACATATAAATAATTAATACATAATAAATGGCTAGTATTTGTTGTGCTCCGCAATAGTGTTTATGTATTATGTATGTATGTTTCTATATATACTTATATACATATATAAGTTTATTTGCTTTTAATCAAATGAGTTCATCTCATTTTTTCGCTTTCAATTTATTAGCTTACGCAAATTAGTTTATTTATGCGGTCATTAAGTGGAAAAAGTACAATTGCTGCTAAAACTTACTAATGCTCTGCGGTTTTACTCTTAACCCATGAGTAACATGCGCTTGTGTATTTGTGTATTTATCACATTTCATGCGTCGGCCTTGAGTTATGATTTCCAATGTGAGTTTTGCAATTAAAAAAACATCTCTACATACCAACTTATATACATACATATGTATGTACCTACACATTTGCCGACGTCTGTACATTTTCAGCAAAGTTTTGTTTATCCTTGAAGAAGATTTGGCCCAGAAGCACAATTTCGCCGAACATAGTTGGTCGATTTGCAAATTTTTATCTTATCTTTATTTATAAATAATAGATATTTCGCATGTTGCTCTGCGAAATTCCACGAAACCCACATTACGAGACTTTCCTCTTGTATATTTGCTTTGGAACTACATGTCGTAGTGCAAAGAGTACAAAAGAAGCGCTCATGTTCAGGTAGAAAACTGGAGCAATTGCTGAAAGCTGTATGCATTTCGTATATGTATTTGCATGTACATACATATGTATATGCATATGTGTATTCTATTTCAATTTAAGAATTAAGAATACAGCCACTTGTAATACAATGAAGTTTATGCGTGCTCAATTTTTCAAAAGTTTTTCATATATTTTTTACAATTTAAATTTTTATTTTTTTTTTATTTTAACAGTGGATTACTGTTGTTGTTTGCCGCTTTTAAATTGATCGATAGCGCCAATCTTGACATTTGCATACCAACTAGTATGGGTATTGCGTATTCTTGGGGATTAAGTTCTGACTGCTTTTTAAGCCGATAAGGTGCGCTGTGATGCATAAAATAAAATCAGTTAGTTAAAAAATCATTAACAAGTAAAAATCATTTTTATTTTGTATTTTTTTTACAGCTTTTTGTCCCACAAATGTTTTAATTATCTATCATTTTGAAATATGGAGAAATAAATAAAATGAATAACATATATTGTCCATTCAAACCGGTTTCATAATGTTCCAACCAATTTATATAAATTTTTTGTTTCATGCTTTTTGCGCAGAGCGCAGCCAAGTGAACGTTTTGGTAAAAATTAATTGCAAATTCAAAGTCTTAAGTTTTTTTCCGAATCGCTGGAGGCCAGGTCCGGTGTTCATTGTTTATACTGAAGCAATTCGAAGCCAAATTCATGCAATTTTTCTAAATATTTGCAGCGTCTAAACCCAACAGTATACCAGGTGTATCGCAGTGCTACTCAGCCAATACAAGTCACATCGATGAAAACATATAGTAATCGGAGGAGATTTCAGTAATTTTTTTGCTATTAAATCATGTTATTTCACAAAAGTAGTAATATTGCATTATTATACAATGTTTTGACTTGAAGTTACGAAAATTTTAAAAAAAAAAATTTTATTTCCAAAGCTAGAGCTGTCTGTGTTGACACAGTTCATTCTAAACTCACAATTCATGTCAAATCAATCGGATAAAAAAAATCAGTTTTATAAATAGATAATCCTGGGCCTGATCGAAGCTTTTTTTCAAAAATTAACAAAATGGCGGCCTCAGGAAATTTCAACAGTTAATTGGTCTTAAAAAGGAAAATTTTTGAAACAAAAAAAACTCCTTCGATCAGACCCGAGTTTATAATGTATTCTAAAAGCTGTACAAATTTCATTTTAATCTACTAAGCGGCTTACGAGTTACAGTTGTCACCAGTTCGAAAAACATAGTTTTGAGAAAAACGCATTTAAAGTTCCTTGCAGCTGCCGCTAGCTACCTGCTCCCGAGCGCTTTGAAGTGCCCGAGCGCTCTTTGTTATTTGTCGAATAACTCAAAAAGTAATTATCGGATCAACTTGAAATTTTCAGAGAATATTTTCAAGATATTATACTTAACAAAAATGCAAAAAAAAGCAAATTGATTTTTTGAAAATTCTGACCACCCCTAACCTTTTAATGTGCAGGTTCATTGTCGTGTAACAAATCTACTTTGCCGTGTCTTCTGGCGCATTATGGTCGCTTTTTGATCAATGCATAGTTCTAATTGGTAATTTGTTGTCTGTAGCGATTAGTATTAACCGTTTCACCAGGTTATATATGCTTATGATATACCACACCCTTCTGATTACACCGAACACAGAGCATTGTCTACTTACCGAATCGATCTGTTTTTGCAGTCGTTGATGATAATTGTCCCAGATTAACCTATGATTTTCTCTGTTTAGGTTTCTTAATATAAATACATTTTTCATTGCCAGTGACAAGTCGATGCAAAACTGATTTTCTTTCATGTCTTTGAAGCAAAATTTCACTTCAATTTTTTTTTTGGTTTTCCATTTGTCTTTCTCACATTAAAATCATTATCTCTATACGACTCTGCAGCAATTTTCTTCAAATGGAAACAAAAAATTAATGCTTTCCGCAAATCATCACTTGCGGATACAAAATTTGACATTTTCAACACAATGAAAAACTATCATGTTGTTGGTTCAGTGACTGTAAGGTTATTGAATATGTTTGACAGATGTCATGCCAACTAAACAAAAAAGAAATTATGGCTCGTTCAAAACAAATATTCCCTACCCTACATTTGTATCGACACGCTCACTTCATACTGGTACACCTGGTAGGAAAAATGTAGTTGCTTAACAAACTAGGTCATTTGATTCATAGTAAAATCTTTTAAAAATAATATAATATGAATATTTTACAAATATTATCTAGTGGTAAAACAACAATATACTTACCATATAGTTCAGTTGTTTTCAATATAAGCGGGTGTGTACACATTTCTCAAGCGATAAAACTGAATATCAATATTTGAAAACTGTATGACATACGCCCATTATCTATTCGATTCACTACTCTCCAAGACTTTGCGTAGCGAAGACAGCTTTTCTATTTAAATACTTAAATACTAAATTTTCTGAACAAATAAAATTTTCTGACTTTGGTAAAGTACGAAGTACGAGTAAATAAAATAAAATGAGCAGCTTAGCTGATGATGTCAAAGCTTGTCTATTAATGTACAAATCCAATAACTATTTGACGTTCTAATACGATTAAAATCAGTTTATTTGTAATGCAAAGTCATATTCCACTACAATAGAATGGGATATTTACATTAAAAAATGCTTTCAAAATAATCACTTTTAAATCTCATAAGTAGCATTACTAGTCTGTAAAGCTTCGATAGTAAGGAGCATCTAAAATTGAGCGAAATCAACCTTATACATATGGGCATTGTGACAACCCTAATCATTCTAATTCAACATCTTTAAATAACGGTGCCCATTGGCAGTTACTGTTACACCGTTTTCTTCAAAGAAGTATGGCCTGACAATACACCTTAATGAAACTATGCACCACACAGTGACTTGTTCTGGGTGAAGTTCCGTCTCGTGAATTATTTCTGGATTTGGTTCACTCCATATACGACATTTTTGCTTTGTTCAAGTACACTAGCTGCAGTAGCTTTCCGCAAAAGTGAAATTATGTTATAGGCAACGCAAGTAAGCCAACAACTATAATATAATAGCCGAAATAGAAGTGCAGTATAATACAGGTCTACTCGACGAGAAGATTTTTGTTTGAGAAAATCTTATTAAACTGGACCGCTCAGTCTTAATAAGTAATAATTTACAGTCCTTGCTTTGTTAGTGCTCGATCTGTCTAATGTTAGCGCAGCTTTTCCCAATCTACTACTACATATATTTATGAAATTACCTCGATGAATCGATAGGCATCCTTGGATGCCTAGAAAAAAATCAAACTCAAATTATAATTTGATGAACAAAATATACACGGCTTCATTGTTTTCAAAAACCGCAAGTAACACGTTGCGCGCGGGTATAATGATAAAACAAATTTAGAAATTATCTTCCTTCTTCACTTAACATATTATTTATAAAAAATTGCAAATTTGCTTATGTTATAAGTTTATTTTATGACATTTACGCTTATCCCCACAAAAGGTATAAAAAATCGTTGAATATCTCATTATCATCTGCTTGAAACAAGATCTGTGCAAGTCGAATTGAAGATAGAAGACAGGGGCAAGTACTTTACAGCTCTTACTAGTCTACTAGGCTTATAAATTGGAGATTTTTCGATGCTTTGGCACTTTTTTTTTTATCTTGCGCAATAAACCTACCACACACCTGGTTTTTTCTCTCCTTCCATTCCTTCCATAGCAGGTACTTCGCGGTATACATACCATACATACATAAATACGCACAATTACACACAATAACGCATATGCTTTATTAAATACTGTAATTATTAACTCCACTTTCAGGCAACGAATGTCATTCGTCCGCGCTATTACTCCTCCGAGTTGGGTATACGCGAGAAGATCTTCATTGGCGTGATGACGTCACAGGATAATATCAATACATTAGCGACAGCGATTAATCGCACCACAGCGCATTTGGTGAATAAAATTAAGTTTTTCATTAATGCCGACAATGTGAAAACGAACTATAAACTCAAGAATATTGTCGGCTTCACGGACACACGCGAGAGTCTACGTCCATTCCATGTGATAAAATACATTGCGGATAATTACCTCGATGACTACGATTACTTTCTGATCATGCCAGATACGGTATATGTGGATGCACGTAAACTGAAAGCACTGCTTTATCACATCAGCATCACTTTTGATCTATATATGGGTGCCAGACTGGAGCTGAATATCGCGAATGGCGGTAACAGTGCGGCGGCGGCGGCGGCGGCGGCGGCGGCGGCGGCGGCGGCGGAGGCTGTCGCGTCCGGACGTATCTCGAATTCCAATGGTGTTGACGATCTCGGCAGTCAAAGTGATCGTAATTACTGTGATTTAAATGCTGGCATTGTGCTCAGCAGCAGCGTGATACGCAAGATGCGCAACAATCTGGATTGGTGTGTGCGTAATGGCGTCAGCAATGTGCATAGCGTCAATATCGGTCGTTGTGTAAAGTATTCAAGTAATTTGTCCGGATGTCAGACAAGCTTTCAGGTGAGCGAATACTTGACTTAAATAGATGTATTAAATAGTAGTAGTTAAGTGAATATGTAAATATGGTATATATAATATTATACATGCCTGTTTGCCTTTTCCGTTATAATCATATGCATTCTTATTAACGCAACTACCTCAAACTTGGCAAAATAGCTAGAATTATGTGAAATAAATAGCAAGCATGGCTTTTGCGAAATATTTCTCTAAAAATATTAATGTTTTTTTTCTTACGCGCAATGCAATCGAAATTCGGTGTTGGCAAAAAAATTTTAAAATGAATTAAAGCATTCAAACGGCGTACTTAATAGTAAACTTCACAGATCTCAGTCAAGCCAAATTTAGTTGAATACAACGAATAATTGAATGTTAACAAGAGTTAATGATGATTGCAACAAATAAGTATTGCAGACAGGCGTCAGTTAGACAGCAGGCGAATTATAAGTATTTATAAATGCAGACTGCGTTGAAGAGCAGAAGCCTTATGGTAGATAATGGGTAGTCAAAAAAGTCGCAAGTGCTGCGAAAAATATAAAATATATTATAAATAGAAATTTAAATGGAAATATATATAATACATATGTAAATATATACATATTAGTTTAATTTCAAAATAATCGATAAGCGATTTGTTTGAAAGATAATAAGTTGCAACGTCATTTTGTATATTTTATATTATTACGATAACACCGCCACTCATTCAACATAATATCAACAAAAATGCTTATATAACATTGCGGCGTTAGAAGTTGTCGAACTGTTGTACAAAATTTAATTTCAGACGAAATAGCAGAAAAGTAAATATTTTATATATTTTAATTTAAAACTTATTAGCACATATTGTAAATAAAGTGAATTTAACGATTAAAACACACACTTACTTTTTAGTTTAATATATTGATATAAATGTATATTATAAAGCCTTAACAACATACCCACAACAGTTGGGTCTTAGCGTCGACCTGGTCGAGAAAAATAAGAGTTTACAAGTAGAAACGCCTAACTGAAATTTAACCAGGCATAAAAACATCAGACATACTGTATTGTATTGCATGGTACTAATTGTAGATCGATTTTTTAATGAATAATTTTAACTGGTAAAAATAACTAAAAAATATTTCTGTGGCATTCGCACGTTATACTCATTCTTCTGGGTTTGCAATTGCCATAAATATTCTTACTAATTTTAAGCTTTTTAGTCCATTTTAGAATACTAAAGGTAAGGAGACTTACTCTGATTGAATTTCAGAACAGTAACATAAACGTCAGAAAAAGTTTTTACTTTACTTTCCTTCAATTAGTTTCGATTTTGCAGTCTTTATTAAAGCGTTTAATTGTTCTTCACAGCATTTAATCGATTTTTATCAATAATTCAGTAAATCGTTTGTGGTGGTGGTATTGATAGGTTAAGTACTTCGTGTCTGGTTTTCAGATTTTTTGACAAAAACAAGACAACACGTTAGCTACAATATCAATCACAAATAAAAAATTTTTCATCCAAGAATTGCTTTTGATCGGTCAGTTGGTAGGGCAGCTATATGCTTCAGTGGTCCGATATCTGCGGTTCCGACAAATGAGCAGCTTCTTGGAGAAAAAAGGGCGTGTCTCAAAAACTGAGAGACTACCCAGTAAACACCTAAAACAATTTTATAGGGCCTTACATAAATAACTGTATACTTTAATCAATAGATAACATCAATTATCATTGCTAAACATATTTTCTCCCATACCATTCTACTCCGTTTCAATACTCATTGTTTTTATATTTAAAAATCTTATTACCATTGAACGGCCTCTTTAATAATAATAGAGAATAAAAATCCGCCAAAAACAATATAGACTACACTTAATAATAAATAATGCTGTCATTTTATAAATAGCAAAGGATTAGTCTGATAAGAGTTTTGTGATGTTCGAACTGTAATACAAATCGTCACGGGACCTACACATTTTCGCTGTGGCCATGAGGCATTGATTAAGAATAATCAGTTTGGCGAATATTTTTAACGCTCTACAGTGTTTCCAATATTTATTATAATGGAACTGTGTATTATCTTGAAACAGTCAGTATCACTCACGAAAGTAATAAAAATCTAGTTCACATTTTTAATATGACGGAAGTACAAAATCGGAGGTATTTAAAGATTTATATAATATAATATATGTACCTATGAATCCAGTCTTTGATTATGTTGATCAAGACCGATCGACGATTTCTATCGTAAAATTTTTTTCCTGCGAGCATATTTTTTGAGGTTTGAGTTCCACAAAATACGGTCCAATTATTTGCAAGTCATCATATACTTGATATATAATATATTAATATATTGTTCAAAACTATTAAAAGTTCCATACCTCTTTAAGGGTTCTCCATATGAATAACGTTCAAATTAGACAATAGGCGTCGCAGAGTAAGTGAAGTTGCAATGCTCATCGAATTATTTCCAGACAATAACGATTAAAACTCTTTTGAAACCCTCTTTTTTATTTCATCCTGACCTACGTACTATAGTACAGAATAGACAGTAAACAATTTTTGAAAAATGTGTAAAATTCGTGTATACCTTCTTTCCATAAATCGATCAAAGTATGCTTCGCTTGACCCTTATTCTATATGGTATATCAGTTATTAAGTGAGATATATGTATGGTATCAAATTAGATCTGTGTATTAAGATTAACACCAAAAAATTATGTTATCGCTCCACATTTTCGCTTAGTTTGTTTGATATGTGAATTTTGCCCAAATATTTCGGATTATATTTGACGTCTCTTTTGGGCAATGACCTGCTAACCATATTCCCACTTAAATTATTTCATTCAGAATGTTTAAATATTTTGAAGCAAATATTTTTCTGTTATCTTTTAATCGAAAACAAACTGAATTGGTGAAAAAACTGCCGACATGTTCGCCGCATGGTCACTCGTGTAGTCCATTGAAAAACGTTAATCAAAAGGCTTGCTCGGCAATCTTCTGGGTGTCAGCGACATGAAAATGTGATGACAGCAGAATTTTGGACGCATGCTCTTGACTTGCAAACATTTAGATACATGCGTGGATGTGCTTATGTAAATATGTATATAGGTATATATACTTATGCTAAATGTACGTTTAAAAGTTGCTCGTGCCACGCTTTGGCGTTTTTTCGTTTAACATAAGCTATATTTCGGTTTTAGTTGCGCTTTAATTAAATTTTATATTTTATTTGTTCTATAAATTATGTGTTGACTTCCCGAATAAGCATGCACGCGCAAACTAGCAGTGAAATTATACAAGCCTAATCAAACAGTCAGGCGAACAGGCCAACGGACGGGCACGTAAATCAAGTCATGCCACTTTGCGACCACTCAGATTAATGTAAATACTAGTATATATGTATGTATGTAAGTCATATATGTACATATATACATTTAGTTATGCATATACTGTTAACATACAAAATAATTCGATACCATTTCAAAAATATGAGGTGAGAATTCGTCAGTGATTTTTTATTCGAGTTCAATGATTTATTGCTGACCCTGAAAATATGTAAAAAGAAGCAACGCCACCAAGCATTTCATTACAAAAATAAATATCGTAAGTAAATATACATACATACATAGCGGCATACATATATGCGTACGAGGATGGCCCAGCAAATACTTAACCTCACCGCCTGATAGCTGAATTATCACAAGATATACTTGCTATTGGGCAATGACCTCCTATCCATATTCCCACTCAAATTGTTCCATCATAGACGACTACTGTCTGCCGAATCAGACTCGAAGTTTTGTTTTGACGGCATGTGGAAGCGGCGTGTCCATAGATTTTAGACGAATTCGGAAAAAGCAATATCTAACGGTGATTCGAAGCAATGAATTCAAATAGTTGAAACAACAACAACAGTGTTTGTTGCTGTTTAAGCCTAATCCGAAGGATTTTCTGCATAAGCTGCGTCAACGAAACATGGATCCACTGGCACACACACACACCACAAGGCAAGAAACTGTAGAAACAGTAAACCATCCCCAGCGAACCTGCTCGAGAAAATGCAAAGATTTTTCTAACGACCAGAAAGATGTCACCGTTTTCAAGTGCTCACAAGGTGTAATCTACAGAAAGACTAAAAGGTCACAAGACTCTACTGTGCCAATTCGCTGAATTACAGAAAATATGGTCTCTTTTGTAGAACAAAAAATTCTCTTTCACCATGGCAAAGCATCGGATCACACCTCCGTCGTCGCCACGGCTAAAACGCCGAAATAGGCTACCATATCCTCCCGATTCTTCATATTTGGAACCGTCACTAGCTTGCTATAATTTGAGTCGAATATGGTGATAATGGAAGGCACGAAGGCCCACTTTGCAGAACATCAAAAATAACATTTTTCCGAAGGAGAGACTGTACGAAGTTGGGCCATCGCTGGGTCAAGTGTATCAAGCTGAAAAGAGACTACGTTGAGACTTAAATCGCCATTTTACCAAAATTTTCGTTTTTTTTTTGTTTGTAGACCAAATGATTATCAGACCGCCCTCGTACATGCATACGTACAAATGTATTTATAACAGTAATTTCTTGAAATTGTATCACAACAGAGTCTCCTACTCTTCCACACTGTCGGTATATTAAATTTAGAATTTGATAGCAGATAGTTCTGCGTCTTTCTCCGCGGACTTACCAAGCGGCATTGTAGGCTCTTAAAGACCGCATAAATTGTGAGGTACGCCAAACCACTAGCAGACGCGAGGGCAGACAGGCAATGCGCGACTCAGTCAAGTGTCGACTGCTGCAGCCGCTGTGCTCAACGAATAAATCGAGGCCGACTGGGCATTTGGCTACGGCTGCTCAATTAAATGTTAGAGTACTTAACTAATTTGCATCTGACGTTTATTATTATTCGTTTTCTTCAGTTATTTCTGTATTTTCAATTAATTTTGATTGCTCGAATTGCCGGTCGTTGATAACGGTTTGGTGCGCCGCAGCTGCTGTGGTGAGTTGGTGAGTCAAATGCGCGGCAATGTCGTCGGCTGTGCAGGCACGACTGCGCATCTTCCGCGTGTCTCTCAAATTCAGGCACACACACAAGCAACACCGCGCTCGGAGCGCAATCACTAGTCTGTCACTCATTCGCGCATTAGTTAATGGTGTTTGCTTTGGCATTTGACATGCTTAATGTAATTATCGTCAAATGTATTTGCACTCTACAAATTGTTCAAGCGAAATTGCAATGGCCCGTTAACTGGCGCGCTTAATTAAAAAGCAAGCTGCTGATTGCAATTTTTATTGCAACGATTATGATCTCTTGAACTGTGCCAACGGCTGCGCGTTCATCGGCAAAGGTCAATGAAATGCACACTCGGCGGCAGTAAATATTGATTACAAAACAATTTGTTTAAAATTCATAACAATTCAACTTAATTGTATTACTACAAGCAAGTTTAGATCAACTTGATATAAGCGGATAATGCATTTTAATTTATTATTGCACTTAATTCTTGAATCGTTAAATTTTAATGGTGGAAAATTATTGCTTGCTACTTTTACGAGCGCATTTACTCGTTGAAATGATTATACATAGATATGTGTTGGCAAATATGTAGTACTATTAAATCTTCTACAATTAACGTCTGGTTTTGTGAATATTGACCAAAGTACGTTACGTCTTTGGTTCGCCGTGGAGTACTTATCGTCATTCGGCTCAAGGCCGTATATAATAGCCGAGCGATGACTCTTGGTTGTCACTACATTGGCAATAAACTCTCTGCAGACATTCGCATAGAAAATATAACGAATTTGTTGCGTATCAACCAAACTGCTGTTCTCTATTGCTAACACTTAAAAGTTTCAAAAGTAATGTTCTGACTTTTTTCGTTAATTTACCGACGTTCTCATGTTTTCGTCATACTCAGGATCCTCACTGGCTTTCTATCACTTTGAGTCCACTTGCATTCTTGATAAAGCAGCAATCATATTTTCTTCAATGGTAAATTGCACGTCGTATACATACTAACAGTTATATTTCACTCTAAATTCAGCCAAATAAGTAAGGGAGAAATTTACACGTTCCGTTATAACAGACTACTTCCGAATAATACTCCTGATAATTATCGGACTATTTTGTAAAAATTGAACGTGGACGCAACAGTTTCACTAATAAATTCCATGATGGTCGTTTATCTTGACACAACAGCTCGTTTACCCGAAATCATTGACGAATTGGCTATTACGAATTGGTCATTTTGGAGGTAATTAAGGGAAATCAGGCGCACTTTTAAAACTTGTTACAATTCCTCCGCTCCCCATGGGACCCTTACCTTTTGTGGGCGTGTTAATAATAGAGTCGATTTCATATCAATGTCCACTTAACTTTTCCGTCACAACGAGAGATTGGTCAGCAGAATTCGAAATAATTTCATGCCGCATTTCAACCAAATTATTTGTTTATAAACTCAAAACAAATATTTAAGCAATTCACAAGCTTCGTCTTATGTCTTATGTCGTATTTCAATAGTCTTAAAAAATACGACACTTGTGAGCACCCCTTAATTGTTGTATGTCATATTTCTTCACTTCACCAGCTGGTAGTGAAAAATTAATAATATAAAAATGCCACGAGAAAATAAAAATAACAAAATTAAAGCTTCTTGATATTGAACCGCCGGCATTTTAGTTTGCATTGCAACCACAAAAATAATAAAATATTTATATATATCACTTTTCTTCATCTTAATTTACCTGAATATCGTGGCTTCCTTCCATATTATTAAAGAAATTGATGAAACTTATTAAATTAATTAATTTGACACTTAAACGTCAACAATAAAAAAAGTAAACAGATACAGCTGATAGAGTAGCACACTCAAAAAACAGTTGCGTTTCTTATATCATAGAAGAGTATAAAATAATTTTTATTTTGATCGGTCAGTTTGAATGACAGCTACATATGTATATGCTATAGTGTCTGATTTGCACAATTTGTTCGGATATTATACCGAGGCCTTGAACTTATGCCAAATTTCGTGATGATATCTCGTCAAATGTAATTGTTTTCCATACAAAGACTTGAATTTGATCGATCAGTTTGTATGCCGGCTATATGCTATAATTATTCGATATCGGTGATTCCGATAAATATACAACATTTTGGGGAGAAAAGGACGTGTAAAAAATTCCACTTCGATAACTCAAAATCAGAGGCTTGTAACATAACTTAGAAAATTTCTTATTGACAAATACTGACAAGGGATCGCACGGTATGGAATTTAAGGATCTAAAGTACACGTAAATGATAAAGTTAAATTTTCTACAGATGTCGTAGGATTCATTTGATCGTTGTTGTTGATATTGTAAATTTCCCCAAACAATATTGAGAAATACTACCGCGTCAACAGTCTTTGGCCGAATATAAATATGGCTACGTTCCTGTGATGTACTGTCCTTTTTCATTTGGTATCTTATTTTATAATATGACTTAAAATGTAAATTTAAGGCAAAGAAGCATTCCTAGCAAGTTTCTAACAGAACACTACCCCCTTGAGAGCTAAGTAAAGTGGGTCAGGGTTGTCAAATCATAATATGACTTCGACATTCGTTCTTCTATATATTCAACACAAAATTTGCGGTCTTAGACTCACTACTTTTTCAGTGGAAAACAAACAGTAAAAATGCCTGCACGCCACAACCGAAAACAAATATGCAAAAGCAAACACACACGATGCATAATGTTTACCATAAACGCATTTTTATTTGTATTTGTAAAATCATAAAGGTTTCCTGCTGAGTCATTATTAAAATTTGAAGTTTACGCCTTTTGATATTTCCAATACCCCCCACACCCCTAACACTGTTTTTTGATGATTCAATTCTTCTGCGAAAATGATCACACACACACACACACATAAGTATATATTTCTTAAGTTAGTAGATTCCCAACATGCAGCGTTCTACTTTGGCAATCTAAACAATGAAACTTCTTTTGCGGAAAATTTATTAAAACAGATATATGAAATAGTAATATGCGGCTACCAACAACAAGGCCCCCATGTGTGTGCCTAGAGTATTGACTTCCTAGTTGAGGCATAAACATTTGTAAACATAAAACGTTTGTTGGTGTTGTTGTTGTTGTTGTTGATTTTGATCTTTCGCGCATCTACAAGTATGTATTTGCTTTCTGGCAAGCATTAAATAGCACAAGAGATGAAATGCGAAGTTGAAAGCACACACACAAAACGTTGACAACGCGTGAAGATTCTCCAAAAAGCGCTATTGTCAAGCGCACAAGCACAAGAAACCACACAAAAAGGAAGATTCTTGGAAATCATTAAAGGTCTGTCGCCTAGTAAAAAAAAGCAGAACAGTGTCGCGGCAGCATTTAACTCAAGGTTAAAATAAAATGCTCATAAAGCGAGTACATAACTCGCAAAATTTTTCAATTCAAGAGTTTAATGGCGGTTAAACTGGCGCAGATCTCACCAACCCACTAATAAAATACAAAAATGTACTCGTACATACAAAGTATACATACATATGTATATGTTTATTTGTTATGAAGACATATGCAACACAGATGTACATATGTATGTATGTATTGGCATATACTCGTACATACTCACAAGTACCACAAATTTGTTAAATCATATAATTGTAGCATCGGCCAGATTTTTTTGTGATAATAACTAAAGGAGATCAATTTATCGTATATCATTGTTTTGAAAATACCCAAAAATTATGGACAGTTCACTTTTTGGATAACCCATCTTCTCAAAATGGTGCACCAAAAGCTTTGCAACCGATTCGGTATAATAATTGTTGTCTACTTTTTGGAGCACTGATAAAAATCCGTCGATTATAATGGCAATATGAAAAAATTAAGAGTGACGAATCGAACAACAACTGGTATAAATCAAATATACTTTCATAATCAACATAAGTTTAAAGAGTAGCATTTGGTCATAACATCCAGTAGTGCTGTAAAACAATCGATGGTATCGAAGAGAAGTAGATTTCATGGCGAAAAACTATCGATAGTATTTTTTAAACCATCGAAACCACATACCCTCTGGTATTACATTCTTGCTGAAAAATTTGTAGTTGATTTCCTATGTTTCCTTTGTTTTCAAGAGCAGAACTCACTAACGCAGCGTAGTTGAGAACTGAAAATGAAATGAAGAGAAGAGTCATTTTAGCGAGAATCCAATTTTCCTTATACTTTTTATAAGCCTCGGCTGGGATGGACTTCAGTGCCTTCAGCGCAATTTGGTTTTTTCGTTTTTGGCTCATATATGGAGCGCCATTCGCTAAATTGTTAGACAGTTTCGACGTCATATTCATAAACCCACAGCATCTGAAAACAGCGTTTCGAGAAAAACGCATTTAAAGTTTTGGAAGCACATTACACTAAGTTAAAAAATTCTTACACAAACGTTCATATCTTCAAAACTATTTGTCGGATGAACTTGAAATTTTCGGAGAGTATTCTAAAATACATGTACATTCGAAAAAAGGAAAAATTGATTTTTTTGAAAACTACGAGTGGGTATAACCCCTTAAGTGAAGTGAACTACATACATATATTTTTATCCGATCATATCATTATATTATTTTCGTAGTGGGGCCACCGCAATTATAAAAAAAAAATATCTTAGTCGAAACTAAGATCGCGACACGATTACGATTCGTTATTATCATCAAATAGAAAATCTCTCAATATTGCTAGTCTTAATTTGTTGTGCACGGCGTGGTCGACATAATATTCTCGTTGTAACAGCTTTTAACAGTTTCCATGAGGGCGATAGACACTGAAGTGAGTGTTTTGTGATCGTTTGGCGAAGGCGTCCCAAAAACTGCTATTAGGATGTTCAAGAGAGAAATTTTTCCTTCCTTATTTATAATTGGATATCCAATAAAATTATAGGATGTGCTGTACGAACTCTTAAATGACAACAACGTTGTGGAGGTAAATAAAATTTAGTGGGACCCCCCTTTGATAGTGCTCAATATGATACTTAGTCCCAAATCACCTTCTCTGAATTGCAAAGACCAAATTCAAAGTAACCGAATAAAGCGAAGATACAGCTGCAGTGTTATAGTGGCCTCGGCGAAAATCATCGAAACGGCTAATCTCCAACCATGAAGAAATAACTGGTGATAAGTATAGAGCCATGATTACTAACTTTTTCATTCCTGAATTGAACAACCATAATGTCCAGGAGCTGTGGTTCCAACAAGACGGCGCAACATGGGAATTGGCCTCCAAGATCTTGTGATTTAACACCGCTAGACTACTTTCTGTGGAGTTATGTAAAGCCATTGGTCTATGCGATACGATATACGGCCACAAATGTTGGAAAAAGTCGCCGAAAATTGGACGTCCAGATTGGACCACATCCGAGCTATCCGTGGCGTTGGTATGCCAAAAATCATATTTAAAATGTAATGTCACAAGATTATCTTTCGAATAAATAAAATTCATGTCAATCGAATAATCCATCGTTGTTTTATTGCAATTTAAAGTTCTATACCTCTAAAAAAAACACCCTTTATAATACTTTCTTATATCTCTAACATTCTTTTTTAAAAAAAACTGTTCAACAAAATTGTAGTTTTCAAAAATTCTGCTACTTTTCTCAAGTGTGTCCACTAAATTTTTTTCTGGTTTTAGAGTTTTTTATACAAATATTTTAAGCTTAAATTTATTTGCTAAAACTATTCTACCAATTTATTAAACTAAGTGAAATTTCACTCATATTTTTTAGGGTGTGCATGAAGACATTTACGGTTTACAGCCACACATCAAATTGTTCAAGGATTTAAATATACTTGCCAGAGATGAAGCTTTCCGAAAAGCGGCTGCTGTGTATCCCGTAACATCAATGGACGATTTCTATCGACTGCATGCCTATTTTTCTCGGGTAATTTTTGGCATTCTTTTTTACGTGATTAAAATAACACCCATATTAACAACGAATATATTATATAATATATACGAGTTTTCAAGCCGGATATAATTTATTTACTTTTTTCAGCATCACTTAGAACTGGTGCAGCAGCGCAGCTTTGACTTGGAGCGCAAATCATATCAAATAGCTAACGGTTCAATATCGAATAACATACTCGAAATACGCTGGCCACTCGGTGTGCCACTTGGCTCAGCGCCCGAAACGCGACATGACATCATAACATGGCACCTCATCAACAGCACACACATCTTCCTACCCAACGCCGAAAATATCGTCGAGCCACTGAGTCACACTGACAAGTTGGATTTCGACAAAGTGCTTGAAATTGCAATTGCCTATGGCAAGCGGAAATATCCACACTTGCAATATGTTAATTTGCATACGGTTTACAGGAAATTCGATGCAACGCGTGGCATGGACTATCAGTTTCATTTGAATATGCGCGACACCACACGCTACACCGACGAATCGGTGACGAAGAGTTTTCAAGTTGTTAAACCGCTCGGTCGTGTCGAGGTGATACCATCACCATATGTCACCGAAAGCACGCGCATCGCTATAATGGTGCCGACTTTCGAACATCAGGCGGTGAATGGTGTGAATTTCATAACGGAATATGAACGCATTTGCATGCAGAATCAAGACAACACGTTTCTGCTGATGGTGCGTGTTAAGCTAATCCTTTGTTTTATTTTAGTTTTGTTGTTTATTACTGTTTTACTGCACAGATTTTCCTCTATCGCTACGACTCCATAAGCAAAGGTGAGCATGATCCCTTCAAAAGTCTCAAAACACTCGCTTTGAATCTGTCAACGAAGTACAAAAGCGATGGTTCACGCATAGCTTGGGTATCCATACGGCTGCCGCCAATGCTTAGTGATATGCCGCCAATGGCGGATATTATGCTGAACTCCATATATGGACGCAATGATATTTTAAGCGTAGCAGTCGCTGATCTGGCGCTGCCGAAAATCGGCCTGGATAGTCTGGTACTAATGGCCTCCACAGATATTAGCTTCAAAGCGGACTTCTTGAATAGAGTAGGTTTACTGTTGCATAACTGTAATTACAATGCATTACAACTACATTTCCATACTACCTTAGGTGCGCATGAACACCATACAGGGTTTCCAAATATACTCACCCATCGGCTTCATGATGTATCCCTGCAGACTGGCGCACTTTTGCAAACAATGTGAGAGCTGTGATGTGAGCCAAAGTTCTGGCTATTTCGACAAGTGGAATTATGATCTAATCGCCTTCTACAGTCGTGATTATGTGCAAGGTTTGTTCATATATAAATATAACAACTACAAATTTCTTAACGCTCACAATAATGTCTCTTACCATTTCAGCGCGCAAATTGATTGAGTCAACATTGCCCATCACACGCACCGACAATGACATTGAGCTGCTACTCAGCCGCAGCGTTCAGAAAATCAACACCATTTTGGATATGTTTGTGGCCTCGCAGCTGCCGGTGCATATACTGCGCGGCACCGAGCCCAATTTGCGTTATGGCTTCGCGATCAGGAATCATATAAGTAATGGTAAAGAAATGCTTAATTGTCCGGCGCTACAATCTAATGCCGAAGCGGGTAATAAGGTACCGCCACAGTTATACAACGAAATACCACAGCGTTACGATGCGTTGCGCGTTGAGAGTGACACGGCGCATGCGCACGGCTTGGACAGTCGCAAATGCATACATTTGGCGTCGCGCAAACAAATCGGCGACGCGATCTTGCGTTTCGAAGATCGTAGCATTCTGCACAAATAGATAGTTAAGTGTACAGTTGCACAAAGCAATAACGTGCGAATTTAAGCGGTTGAAGAAAATCTGCACTAACTCATTGTGAATGAGCGTAGTGTTTGATTTTTTTTTTGTACTCTTTTTTTTTTGTTTTTTTTAATGCCAACTTGGCTACTGCGCAGTTAAACTGCATGCGTCAAGGGCATGCTAACTATTTAATGCTCAAACATTTGCTTTCGTTTAAGCATATTTTATGATTTTTCTTTTTTCTTAAGAAACGAAAAAAGTTAGTACTTTTTTATTTTAGTCTACTATGCCAAAATGCTTGCACAATTTTTTAATTATGTTACATGCGAGTTGTGTGTGTATTTTAGTGTTAATTAATTTATTATAATTATTTTATTTTTCGTATTAAAACGGCTGAGCTACAGTTGATTCCTATCGATTGAATGTAACGAAATGACTTTTTTATGTAATTATGTAATTTACAAGTGCATTAGTGCTATCATATACATACATATAAATCTATCTAGTGTGTAAATATGTAGTTTTGTAAGTGGCGCAGGAACTATTTGTTTGTAGTTATTTTTGTATGTATAATGGCTGTTAAGTGTGTTTTATCTACGTCATCGAAGTAGAAAAATGCCCAAACTTCTCCTTTCCAATTGCAAATACGTATATATATATATATTTACCTATCTACGCATACATACAAATGTACGTGATAATTTGTAAGCAAGCATTTTAAAGTAATTTGGTGTTCAGTTACTAATATGCGACTTTCAAATTACACTCTATTTGTTAGCCTCTCGCATGTGTCCTATCATTTTAGTGCCTTAAGTATTTTATATTCATCTCGCCATGACTGCCAAGTATTCTGTTTGCATGAAATATGTAATTTAAAAAAATGTATATAAATGTATGCACGGACGCACATACATATGTTAATATATTTTTGTATAACAGATTGTAATTAAATATTGTACGTAAATGAATTTCATTCCTTATGTAAAAAGGAGCGTGCTATATACATACATGCAAACCTATGTATGTATATATTTGCAGTTTCCAGTGTAATTAAGTGAATTTCCGTTTCTTTCTACCTCTTTCTCATTTTCCATAGGAAACTAAAAAAAAAAATATATAAAAAAAATAAAAGAATTTGTAAATAGTTTAATGTTTAGTTTTAAAAGAAATTATACTGTAGCTGTTATATGATTAAAGGTGCCAAAGCTTTTAAATTTCTATTAATTTGATATGCTCTAATTTGTTTTAAGAATATGAACAACGAAATAATTAAAGTATTATATTTAGTAATAGGCAAATTATATTAGCAGGGCAGTAAAAGTAAGCAAAACTCAAAGATCTATTGTATAAAATGATGATATAATTAAAATTTGTTATTTAAAACTCATTTCATATAGGAAAAATATATAATTTCACAAAAATTTTGTATTTGTGTGCGAATGTTCCCTACGAAAAGATATTCGATATATGTTGTGGCGGTTAAAAATGTTGTCGCTAAAACTTTTTTTTAATCTAAACAGTTCGTAGAATAAAATTATTTATTATAATTTATATACTCATTTATATGCAAGAAAATAAGTGTTAAACGTCTCAAGTCACGATATCTCATACAATTTTGTTTTATAATAATATATGTATGTATGTATGTATATTGATTTGCAGAAGTATAATAAATTCAGTTGAGTGCCTAAAGTTACATATATAATATTTAAATTTCACTTCTATCGAATATCTGCGCATGTATATTGCAGCGCTTATTCATAATACCAATCTGCATATACATAAAGGTATTTTATGTTTCGTAATTAAATTGGACACTAGAACTAGCGGCGCAAAACAAATGAATAAATGATAAGCTGTTTAAGTTATTTTACATGTGTATACTTTAAAATAAACTTTGTTATACATACATACATTCGTATGTAGATAAAATGCAGTTATAATATCGATTCAAGCAAATAAAATAATAAAAATCAAAAGTTGAATGTGGAGTAAATGCCTTTTATTTGTCAAATATTATACGTTAAGCATAACAGTTAATAGCAGCAGCACAATAATTCAGCACGAATGCAAGAACAATGTACATATATATATGTATGTACAATGACAGTGAAAAACACAACAATGCACTAGATATAAATACTTCAGTTTGACATTTAAATTCAATTTAAACGAATGTATTTCATTCGCTCATACAATTTAAGATCGACTTAAAAGAAAACTCAGGTCGGTGTTTGGTGCAAATTCAACTTGCTCCTTATTACTGCAAAAGAAAAGTGTAAACATTTTGTGTTTAACTTTACATAGCTACAAAAACTACTTTACTTACGCCATAAACAATTTCGCATTACGATCGCCAATTAAAACGGCCTTATCGCCCTCCACCAATAAAGCGGTGCCCTCGCGTAAGCCCAACACCGGCTTTTTATGATACTCAATAAATTCGTTAATGCGTTCGTCACGCGTCTCACCTTTATGACGTGTCGTTGCGTCGGGTTCCATATAATGTGGATTGATGTTGAATGGCACCAGACGCAATGCGTCAAATGTGGGTGGAAACGTCACCGGCATATCGTTTGTTGTATGTATGGAAAGTGTGGCCACATTAGTGCCGGCACTCGAACCAATATACGGTATACCTTTTTTGAGTACACGTTCACGTATTATAGGTAATAGATTTTCATCGTAAAGCGCTTTAAGCAATACAAAAGTATTGCCACCACCGATGAACAGTGCCTCCGCCTGCAGCACTGCTTGTATGGGATTCTGTTTTACGTGTAAGCCTTCAACTTTAAAACCCCATGGAGATAGTGTGTTTTCAACAAGCTCTGTGTATTTATTGTAATCGTTCTGTGCATACGGAACAAAGAGCACCGTTTTCACATTGCGTCTACACACGAAGTATGTAAAAGATATATTGGTTAAAATTATTTTTATGCATTGTAGTGAATTTGTACTTACTTTGATAAAAATTCCTTTAAATGTTCTTTCGCATGCTCCAAGAACTCATAACCATGGACGCGTGAAGAGGATAGCAAAAAAATTGAACGAGGTGACATTTTTTATCACCACACTTTCGAAACTATGGAAATTAAGTCTGAGAATTCGCGCAGAGCAAGAGCTTTGTACCGTTTGTGCAGATGGTTGCGAATCAAATTATTTATGTGTAGACAACTTTACTACACATTTAATTTACTGAAATAATAAAAAAAGATACTGTTAAAGATAAGGCTTATTATCGATTTTAGCTATACGAAGAAGAATAACAATCAACAACAATTGCAGTTGTTAAACGTTGACAACTGAAATCAGCTGTTTGCGTATTTCTACTGATAAGAGACAAACCGGTTATCTGTGTATCCGGTAGCTGCTCAATTGTCCAATGATGCTTTTAAATATATTTTTTTCAAACTATCTACTCACAAACGTAGTTGTTTTGTTCAAATTTGAATAAATATAAGATATATAGTATATAATTTATATCAATTAGCTGAGATTGTTTACAAATATAACAATTTTTCGATTAAATATTAAAAAATTCGATAGTTTTTATTAATTATATAATTTTTTTTGTAAAAGTAAACGCTGCCACCACAGTCATTTTAGCATTTTTTTATGCCTTTATCGCCCTAAAAGCATTGCCTTGAAGAAATGTACTGAATAACTTATATCTCTGTACGAAAGTTATCTGCAAATGATAGACAAATTTATTATTGTTTTTAATTTCCGTTTTATTATTATCTAATATATATATTTTTAACATATATTTTTTATATTAGTAGCAATAGCACACCATACTGTAGCTTTTACTCTCAGCTTTCCTTAGGAGCATATTTTTTCACCAAAATAAAAGTACATAATTGACATACATACATATATGTAGACGTTTTAACGATTCAAGCATAAATTTAAACATAAAATATGCGTAATAGTTGATAAAAGATATATATTCACAGTACATATCACAAAAGTTTTGTATAAACATAGGTAGCGAGTGCAAGCAATACTCTGTCTGTGTATTCTATTTTCATCTTAACATTCAAAATATATTAGTTTACCTTTTACGCAAAATATTAAATTGTTTGCCATTTGATTTTGTATTTTCAATACTCTAATGCATATCCTTGCCCTTAATATCTTTATCAAATATATGCACACCCAATTCTTTTTCACATCTTTCTATTTGGGTTATATAATCGGCTAACTGTTTCTGCGCATCCACTTGTTCAACAAGGAAATTTGTTTCTAAAAAGTCACTTAAATGTGGATCGTTGTGCTCATTTGCCAAAGCATGCAAAGCCAACAAGGACTTAATGAGGAAAATTTAAATATAATATTACTACGATTATGTGCATAGATTCAATAAGTAGTGGAGCTCACCTCGTTAACTGTCTTTTCCATATCCAAAGCTTCAATTAGCGCCGCCTTAACGGTTGTAAACTGAAATTGCGGCGCTGGTAACTCCTCCAAGCATATGGTGCCGCCTCGTTTGTTTATGTATGTCATCAATTGTACTGCGTGTTCACGCTCTTCTGAACTAGCAGACTTGAAAAATCCATATAATCCAGGTAAGGCGACATCGCTGCGGTCGAAATGATGAGCCTTTCAAAAAATATATATTTACATTTTATGGTATATGTATGTACATACATATATAGAAACAAACGTATTTTGTAAATTAAATACTCTTTATGCATACCATAGCTAAGTAATCGTAGCTTGACTTCAATTCCAAATGTATTTGTTTGTTAATAGCATTTTCGCATTCGCTGGCAAAATTTTGTCGCACCATCAAACACATGAGACGCCGGAATTGTAAACGACCGGCGAAATTCATAATTCCAATTGGAGCTAAAATGACAATCTGATTTTCTTACTTTTGAGACAAATGAAGTGAAAAATAAAGTTGATTTTTATCGTTTCCGTATTTTGTAAGTTTGTTGGTATAAATATGTATGCAGTTGCATAAAGTGACAGATAATTGACAGGACATACTGCAGCATATTCAATGCGCCGGTCCAATTTTTGTTGTTTATGCATATTTTACAAATAAAAATAATTAATTTGTGCGAATAAAATTTAACATTTTTAACACCCTTAAAAAGAATAACAACTACAAAGCTTTAGGCGATTAGCACACAGTTTATTTCAGTTTTTCATGAATTATGCGCTTAGTATTATTTTACCACATTACATTTCTTTCGTAAATATTTATGGTTTTTTTTTTCTGATTTTTTGCTTCGATATTATTTATATTTTTATTTTCAGCACATACTTAAAGTATTTTATGCTTTTTTATTACGGCATGAATAACAATTTTATATTAAAATCTAAATAGGCACACTTAATTCTCCAAGATTGAATTTATAATATTCATAGATCTTTATATTTTATTAATTAATTGTTATTGGTTGTCGAATGATAAATCTCTCATCATTACGCATTTTGTTTTTATAAAACATGTATGTTTTTCTCTTTATAAGACAACAGTTTTCAAAATACTATGAAACAATTACATCTTCACGTCCTACATAATGTAACATCTGATACACTTGTTTTTAAGGCATAATTAGTAAGTATCGTTTTTTCATTTCGTAATTTTAGCCTTTTATATTTTTTTAACTCACTGCGCTAAATTAGTTTAAAGTGTTTATAGGAGTGTTAATTGTTTATTATAAATCGTTTACTTAACCACTATTATTTTTTCTTCAATTATTAATATTTTACAGTTCAGTAAGGAAGTAGCCAATGTACGAACCCATTACTCCGGCAAATCCAATATTCTGGACACAAATTCTGAAATATCCGTGTCGCGTTCTATGTGTTCGACAATGAATTCGTGTTTCAGCAGCTGTTCGTAATTGGGACGTGCCTTATAATTTTTCTGCAAGCACTTAACTATAAAGTCTTCGAATTGGGGTGAAAATTGACCAGGTTCAAGACGTGGTGGACTCTCATTCACCACCTTTAATTGTTTTAACAATTTTAGAATGATACAAAATTTATTTACAAAAAAATTACCTGTTTCAATTGCTCAAATGGTGTAGTCCAGTGATTGTATGGAAATCTGCCGGTTGCCATTTCAATCATACTGATACCCAGCGACCAGACATCAGAACGTATATCATATTGAGCTGGATTGCCCTGTGGGTCGATGCGCTCGGGTGCCATGTATGGTTTACACCCAGCATCAATCGTTTTTGCAACAGAATCAACCAAGTAACCTTAAGATAAAAACATATAATACAAATTACTGTTATATCAACATCAACAAGTGGCATTTAGAAGCGTTATGCAATTGCTTTCGCTTCAAGCATGCTGTTATAATGTCAAACTTATTGTGGACATTTATGGGCAGCAACATTACGCATTTTCGCTTACCTGAGATACCAAAATCACACATTTTTACTTCACCACTCCGGTTGATTAAAATGTTTGATGGTTTAACATCGCGATGAATAACTTTTAGTTGTGCATGCAGATAATGCAGCGCATTCACAACCGACATGGCAATCTATAACAACAATTACTTATAAAAATTCTGTAAACAAAAAGGTCACTTAGTTGCATACTTTGCCCAGCACACTTTCTTCCATAGTTAGGTTGTTTCTAAACACCTTTGGGTAAAATTTATCCAAGCTTGTGTCCATTACTTCCATACAAATCCAAACGTCACCTTCTCGGAATAGTGCGCCATAAAAATGCACTGTGTATGGGCAGTCGCTCGAACGCATGGATATGTCCAAGTCCATAAGTAGGCGTTTCTGTTCATTTCGGTTAACTGTCGCTGTTATGCGTTTCACCGCCATTACCGTGCCTGTCTGTTCATGCCTCATTTTTTCCACAATACCATAAGCTCCACGTCCTAAATCGGCAATCTTTTCCAAGCTGTCTGCATTGATTTCAAATTGTTGATTACCTATATTAATTGTAGCACTCGAGTCTAAATTTCTTGGTGGCATACTGCGGGTGAATACATACATAGATTAAAATCAAACATAACAGGGTGCTTTAAATGAATATACAACATACATTTCCGGCTCGGGTTCCTTCTGGATAACAAATTTGAAACCGGGTCGTTGCCTTCCAGCCATTTTTTTAAGTTATAAACTATTACGGAGTACAGGTAGCGTAATAATATTTACCAATGTAAATGTAGGTATTTCTGGTCAACCGACCTTTTTCGACCTTAAGCGAGTTTTCGAGGGGATGTAAACACTTTTTGACTACTAACAGTTTTTTCTGTGGTAATATTTGAAGTTTTGTCGTCCTAAGCCTATTTTGAGTTTTCCCAAATTTGGAATTTTCGCGGCTCCATACACATTTACCTTTTATTTTCGGATTGGCTTTCTACCTCGTTTCGTGTGGGCTCGCGCTCGCAACACATTAACTTACTCCAAATGTCACTTTTCTCCTAATTTGGTAATATTTTCTAAAACATTTTACAGTGCAAATATTCAACGCCTTTATTAGATAATTTTCATTAAAAATTTGCCGCCAATATTAACCGATCAGTATTTCTTAAACTTATCCTTTTCCAATTTTTTCGCCGATTCTCGATTCCTATCAAATAAAATCTTGCAAAATTTTCTCGTTTTTCGTTTCGTTGTCTCGTTCGATATCTGCTTGACTGATGTTTCAGTGCTGCCATATCACTACGTAGATAGTATATAAAGCGAAGAAAACGGTTTCGACATCAAGGGTTAATTCTGTGCGATATAAAATTACATCTTTTTACAAATAAAAATCTCACCGAAAATTACTATTTTATTTAATTAAAAAACAGAAGTACTTGTACAAAGAAAAAGTATGCAGTCTCTTATCATAATGAAATCGTAGGCATATCACTCCCATCTTAAATTCAACATAATTCTTTATTTTCTCAATTTAGTTTTAGCTTTTAATGGACAGTCCACTTAAATTTAAATCATCATTATTTTCATTTACTATAAAGTTAAATTTAAAACCACCGCCAGTTAAATGTAAGTCTTTGGATATGGTTGACCCGTTTTCGTTTTTAATATCTAAACTCTTTATGCCACTTAAATCGTTTTCCGTTGATTCAGAAACATCATCAACGTTAGGAGTCGAAAAATTGAAGCGGAACTCTTTCCCCGTTTGGATAATAGCAGCTTTTTTTAAGAAGCTTGACTTTTTATTTGCTTCAATAGTTTGTGTAAATTTAATTTGTTTAGCCGCTAAAATAAAAAAAACATAGATTAAGGCAAGATATATAAATGAAATGTATATTTGCATACCAAGAGCCATTTTCTTTTCCTCTTCTTTCATTTTAGCACGGTAATCTCCAAGTGCGGCTTTCATAACCTGACGCTTTTTAACAAGCGGTGCAGTTGAACTTTTAAGCACCCGTACATTCTTCACAGTATCATCGGCTGTGATAGTAATTCAACAATTAATAGCTACTCATATAATATGTGTATGTAGAAACTGACCTATCTTTTGAGATAGCTTTCCTGAATTAAGTGCGTTTTCCAACTGCTGAACACACCAACAAAGTTCCAATTCTATTTGTGCCTCATTTTCAGGTGTCTCTCGACGGGGCGCTACTAATGGAGGAGGCTTTTGGAAAGATTTTGGCTTTTTTATTTTGTTCATTTCTTTATTCTTATAGTTTTAATAAAATCAAAAGATATTTTTGTTTGACGTAGATTAGACTTGTGTTGTGAAAATCAAAACAAAATATTTTGACGTTTCGTTATATCTGTACACATGCTGCAGAGGATGTTATTTTTTTTTTAGTGCTACTCGAACAATTTGCTTAGTTATCGATTATAGGTATATAATTTCTACCATGTCATTATCATATTAGCTTACTTAATAAAAATTGTTTAAAAACATTATATTATCCTATTTCTATTTGATTTATCAATATAATTAATGACTTGATGGAAAAGAATTTCAAAAAGAGTTAAATGCATTAAATTTAAATACAACCCTGCACTTGAAGTTTTCTTGACAGCTGTCAACTTAATATTATTTCTTTTCTTACAAATCGTCTTTGGAGGTGGGTGCATTTTTCAATTATTCCGAAGTAAATTCAAAAATCTAAAAAGTTTTTTTTTATTTTAAAACATATTTCAGATTTCCATCTGACTTTGTATTCATAACTAGAGATCAGCAAACATGGTTGCCGTAAAGAAACAGGTATAAATTAATTTGTTCATTGACACGTGGTGATCTGTCCCGACGCCTTATTTAAACATAACCTAACTATGTGAATTTCTATTCTGTTTACAGAAAAAGGCTTTGGAAAGCACCAATGCCCGTTTGGCTTTGGTAATGAAATCGGGCAAATACTGCTTAGGTTACAAACAAGCTTTGAAGACATTACGTCAAGGCAAAGCGAAATTGGTATTGATTGCCAGCAACACCCCAGCGTTGAGGTGAGCCGCATATACAACCATTTGCAATGTAAAAGTAGAATTACTTGCTGGAGCCATATGGAGTCTTACGAGACTGAGAAGTATGCTCCCACACAAGTTTCCCATATTTGTTTGCATTCTTTTAATCATTTGTAATGGAAGCTATGGAGTGGATACTCTCAGCCAATGTTGCATAGTACTCGAAAATTTGCGGTTTAAAACTACCTTGCAATAACAGACATCCAAATGGTTCCAGCGTAGTAATACAGGTAATGAAATTTTTTAGTTTCATTAGCTTTAGAATGCTTCTAAATGATGAATGTATTAGAATCAGACCTATTGTGTTGATATGCAATTACTACTAGAGACTCTTTCTGAGATGGCTAAATGCTATTCACTCAGATCAGTCGTATATATTTTATTTTATAAAGTGAATTTGTTTACTTTTAGGAAATCTGAGATTGAATATTACGCTATGTTGGCCAAGACCGAAGTGCAACATTACAGTGGCACCAACATCGAATTGGGTACCGCTTGCGGTAAATACTTCCGTGTGTGCACAATGTCCATCACCGATCCTGGAGACTCGGACATCATCCGCTCATTGCCAGACAACTAAATCCAATGATGTAGTTTTATAAATAAAATAAATTTTTAAAACAATTCTCTAGTTTGAAATTATTTGATGTTATTTACAGGGTTTCGGTGAAACGGAACTATAGTAGTGAATACCTTATAATAGATTCGTGATTTGAAAATTAACAATTTGCTTAATTCGTTCAATAACAGTTATTACTGTAGTTGAAGGTACTGATGCTGAAGATCTCGTAGTTGGGAAAGTTGGTTCACCGGCATTTAACGGTCAGTAAAATTTATATTGAAAACGTAAATACTACTTTCGTCTGTGAATACCTCTATAGGTTTATAAACGTCAGCTTGCTTTTTGATACAACCCTGTGCAAATGTTATTAGATGTCTTTTCGTTGGAAAGCTAAACAAAATTTTTTACAAAATTGTAATAAACAATAAATCGAAAAAGATGTTATGCCGATTGTGCATTAGTGATTGTGATCACGATTCTTTAGAATTATTTGATTCTGGTGGGGAAAATACCACAATTTACAATGTTGTTGCAAAATATTTTGAAAAGGAGGTAGGTTGTTCAAAATAATAGCTTCCACTTGTATTAAAACGTTATTTTGTATATAAAATGCATTAGATAAAGAATATGGACAAAGTAAAAGCAGAATTAGATGCAGAACAGTGCCAGGGAGCAGCAGAGTTTACGTCACAGGTGATTTGCGTGAACTGCTGGCGGCACATAGATGATTTCCATCAATGGCAGAAGGAGTTAGTTATCTTAAAAGATGAACGTTTGAAACTACTACAGCAACCATATCAAAGGGAACTGGTAGAAAGTGTTAAATTGGAGATGGAAATGGATGTAAACAACTTAAATATATATGCAGAATCATTTGCTGACGATACTTGTGATAACGACGACTATTTCAATGAGGACACTGAAGATCCTGTAGCTATATGTGAAGCCAAACTTTCAACATCGCCAAAGAAATCGCCTCCTGATGAAGACGTAGAAAATGACGATAATGACAGTCTCTATGACGATATGCCATTATTAAGCAGAAAAAATTTAAGGAAAACCAAAACATCAGCACTTACTAAGAAAAAGACCGGAAGACGAAAAAAAGTAAAAAAAGTTGCTAAAAAAGCTTCAGATATAGATACTGATTTGGATTATGATGATGATGAAAATAAGAATGATGCTAATGGTGTTGAAAAAGTTAAAGAAAAAAGCTCGAAAACCAAGGAGTTTGATGCCTTTATTGCTCAGCATTTCAAGGATCAGTTACCATGTGAATTGTGCGGCCATTTATCTGCTGATTTTACTGAACTACGCACACACTTTCGCGAAGTGCATAACAATAATAAAGGCTATGTATTGTGCTGTAAGCATAAATACAGTCAACGATTTCACTTCGTTGAACATTTGCAAGTGCATTTGAATCCACAAAAGTTTCAGTGCGCCGAATGTGGGAAATGTAGTGCTAATGGCAGAAGTTTAGTGGCGCATATGAATTCTATGCACAAGCCTGAAGCATTAGAGCGGCGTTTCGAATGTGAAGTTTGCCATAAAAAATTTGCAAAATTACCAATTCTAAAAACGCACATGGAGACACATGCGGAGGGTAATCCCGACCACATCTGCAAAGAATGCGGAAAGGGGTAAATAAATTTATTATTTGTCATTATGCATTTATGTATTTATTTGTCAAAACATCGTATTTTCTGCTGTTTCCAGCTTTATTTTAGAGAGCCGCCTTAACATTCACATTCGCAATGTGCATAGTACAGCTTATCACAGTGTTTGTGACCAGTGTGGTAAATCTTTTCGTGGACGTTATGCACTCAAATATCATTTGCTAGAACATGATGGTGCAGGCAAACAACTTTGGCCTTGCGACCAATGTGATGCCAAATTACATTCCAAATTTAGTTTGAAACGACATAAACGCATAACCCATCATGACGGTTCCACCGTGTACGTATGCGGTGAATGCGGAAAAGTAGCTTTAACCGAGGATGCACTAAAGTCCCATAAACGCTACGTACATCAACGAGAGCGTATACACAAATGTACGGTGTGTGATAAAGCGTTTAAAGCTTCAAAAGTGTTAAAAGTATGTACTCGAAATATATCAAATATTTTCCGTAATTATTAATATTACAATCATGTAGGAACATATGACAACGCATACAGGCGAGGACTTGTACCAATGTCCACATTGCCCACGCACATTCAAAGTGAATGCCAATATGCATCATCATCGGAAGAGGAAACATCCAAAAGAATGGGCGGAAAATCGCAGGCACCGGCCAATGTCATTCAAACATATGGATCTTAGCGCTATTTCGAATGAGGTAGTGCTGTAAATGAAGAAATATATAAAATTTACAATTCCATTAAAATAAAAATTATTTCCTACAATATGATTTTATCAAAAACATCAGGTGTTTACTTTTGTTTAAGTCAATTAGTGCGATGAATTCCTATCAAGTTTTCTAATATCTCATGAATATGTATCCTTTTTTTATTTTAACTAAAAATAAACCAAAGTATTTTCATTTGTGCAAATTAAGAAATAATACAACCAAACTTACCATCAATCTTATTAATATAACTGATGCTAATGAACTAAGTTTGTTGATTAAAAAACTGTGTAAAATAAAATAACCAATATTTCGGGTAAATATGCTTTTATTTATTATTTTGTACAAAAATTGAACACTAAGGCCTCTCTTATTGTTGGTTATGTTAAGAGCAAATACTTTTTTTTTGTAAAATGATTAAGTACTTAAAATGCTTTAGTATAAAGTGTAACAGGTTAAATACGTTTTGTTTTTTTTACTAAAATTTATAAAAATGTTGATTTTCCACAAAAATTTATAAAAAAGTGTTTCGTTATAAATAACTTTGTATAATATTTTAAAACAGTTCTAGAAACACATACACACACACACACATGCACGTTTAATTTTGCTAATCCACCTTATAGTAACACTCATGAGAATGTGGCGCGCAATTATCATACTCCTTCAGCATCACCTCAGTTGTGTCCAAATCTTTTTCTTGCACACAAGCGCAGCGGAAGTTGTTGGCACCAATTTCGAACAACTTTCGTGGATAACCCACCCATTCACGTTGTTTGGCACCACTGGTTGTGGTGCACCAGACATGTGATCCCCGCTCTACTGACCATTCAATATTGCAATCTGGATACACTTCGCGTAATTGTTCGGCTTGCGCTTTGGCAGCTTTCGCTTGTTCCAAAAGCATCATGTATTTGTGATTGTAGACGGTAGCTTCACCCTTTTCGTCATAAAAGCGTCCTATAAGTTTACCTTTGTATACATATTCTTTCCTGTAAAATTGTTGCCAATTTTCTAGACTTATTAGGTCACTGGGTCTTAACGAGACGACATCATCGGCCTTTTCTTCGTCAAACTTTTCGAATTGACCATTTATGAATGAGACAGAAGCATCACGACCTACGAAAAAATTATAGGCGCATCCTGGCCCATAATGCTTTATCCCTTTCGTTACATCGAATACCGTACCAATTATGGCCAAATATAATGGTGCGTCATTTTCACCATTGAATTGTGCCAAATCATCACGCGTGAAAAGCCCTTCACTTAACGCTGCCTCTTCGGGATTTTGGAGTTTAATAGCTATACTTTCACTTGCCGGATCTGCATATTTGTACACAATCCAATTAATAATTTCATTGTAATACACACCGGTAAAAATAGCGATCACTATTAGTAGAAATTGTGGTTTAAAAAGATGTTTTACAAATTCGAACATTTCCACCTGGTCCAAATGCAATTTGATTGTTTACGTCCTGAATGTAAATAGTCAATTACAGGGTTGCAATATATGTAGATATTTATGCTTTTGTAATATTTGACGAATTCTAAGCCATGCCAGAAAAATTATTAATTAAACTTTAATGAAAATTAAGTAATTGTTGTAATTAGCAATAATATGCTAAATATTTATATATATATATATCTGTATATATATACACATAAGGTATAAGAAAGAATAGAAAGAATTCATAACTTATTAGCTCTAACACTAGTGCAAAATATTTACTATGGTATTTGTATATAGACTATTTATTCTATTCTGAATAGGGTATATTAAGTTAGTCACGAGGCTTGTTACACCAAACGGATACGTCCGAAAGCCTATAAAATGTATATATAATATAAATGATTTACGTGACGAACTGTGTCGATTTAGCCATGTCCGTCTGTCTGTTTGTATAACTAGTCCCTCAGTTTTTGAGTTATTCATCGGGAATTTTGCATACGTCCTTTTCTCTTTAAGAAGCTAGGAATCGGTCCTTATATGGAAAATGAAAGATTAGCTTCGGTGCAACCGAATTGTTTTTTAAAGTTTTTTGCTTTCGTTCGTTTTTTGTTAGTTCGTTGGTTTAAATTAAAAAAAATTTTTGGGCTGTATTTGTCTAATCTCACTAAAATATAGATTTATCAAGTCTAATTTGTTGCTATATTGTATTCTTCAAAATATTAATATTAAAGAGAACTAGGACCGAATACACCTTGTAACGGATCCGTGTAACCGCGGTTTGAGGTGTGACCTTCAAAAGTTGTTATTCTTTTTGATCGCCTAAATAATTTTTGTAAATTGGAAACATTTTTCGAGAATGATTCGTACACTAACACTATAAATGTAAAAGTAGTCATAAACCGACTCCTATAAATACTATAATTAATTTTTAGAGAGAGTATAAGATTTTTGTTTTTGTCGAGTTCGATTTACGCTAAGAAAAAATGTAATAAAAATATCGTTTTAGGAAAATATACCTTTTTCTTATCGTTAATTACTCAATCGTCTATGTCATTTCATATTGGGAAAATTTTTTTAAAAGAAACTTTGCTGCCAAGAAATTTCGTCGATTTTTTCATTTTCAGTTAATTCAAATAAAATATATTTTATTTGATTTTGCTGTCCAAATTAAACAACATTTTTACCAGTTAGAGCTATTTTTAATTCAATTCTTAGCTATAGAAATCTTTTCAAATGGATAAACCGCTGAATAAGGTAATTCAGGTAATATACATATAATGGCATTTGCTGAATGCCGAAAAGACAACTAGACTATATGTACAACTTGTTTCGCATTTCAGAGTAATGAGTCGAGCATTTCAACCACCGGTACCACGGGCTCACCACAGTTTTCCGACACATTAGAGAACAATGTGAAGTACATGAAGTGAGTAACTGATGAAGTGCAAGTATTCCAAGCCAGCGCTTAATATTTCCGTTACATTCTCTTTACAGTTTAAATTTTGTCGACAATTCCGAGTCTTCAAGTCAAGCTAAAGATCAAGGCATTGATTTTCAAAAGTTGCCACGTAAGTTTGCTAACAGCCAATTTTGCATTGCATCTACATTATTCTCTATTTTATAGAAACCTTTGATGCTGCCGCGTCCAAAGCTGCAAAACCACCACCCAGCAAGATACTACCGTCCAGTATTCCATTACCGGGCAAATATGATAGCCAAAAACAGAAAACGGTCTGCACGCTCAAAGAAAAGTCTCTACTCGAAATGGGTTTCAAAACTAATGAAATACAGGGTTGGGAAGATATAGTCCAGCCGCCCAAAGAGAATCTCTACAAATTGTTACGTAACATGATTGACAACCACATCAAACCGAATGTGCAGATACGTATCGGTGGTGTGACCTTCAACTGTCACATGATGGTGCTGCAGTGTTACTCGGATTTCTTCATGGAATGCAACAATGAGGTGTTGATCCAATTGCCCGAAGAAAAGATAACACCGGGCGCTTTTATGATGGTCTACGACTGGATGTTGGCTGAGGAGCCGTTGGTGCAGCGTGAGGGCATACTGGAATTATTTAATGCGGCTAATTTTCTGCGCATTAAAAATTTGGTGAATCAGTGCTGGCTCTGCTTGGACGACGATGTGCGCTTTCGGGAAGATACTGCATTCTTACTCTATCTTGAGGCTCGGAATTATGGTCTGGAGAGTTTGGAACAGCTAATGTTGACACGCATTTGTAAATTTTTCCTAACACTTGTCGCCTCCAAAGAGTACTTGGAACTGACCACGAAAGAGATTTGTACGCTTCTGAGTTCAAATACAATTGGCGTCAACTCGGAAATTGAGGTGAGTCCACAGAGATGCGTTATATAGACTAGGAATTTGTAATATATTTCACACGACCAAAAATCCTTAGGCTCAATGATTTTGTTGGAGCAGTTCTTCCAGAGCTCAGTCCTTGTAAACGACTGCCTTTTAAGTTAATAATCGGGCTTTTCAGACTTAATATCTAAATTAAGATAAGAATTTTTACGCCACTGACAAGGGGGGAAGACATATTTGCAGTGTGTGCCACTCAAAATGGTCCATCTGTGAAATGTGTCTAATATGAGGTTCAAGACTCTACATATTACCGGTAATTGCAGGGTCTTATAAATTTTAAGCTCTTTTCAAATGATCGATGGATATGTTGAAGCTTTTGTGAAGGTCATCAGGGATCTAAATCAGTTGAACTTATATACCTTGCCCCTAAAAGATATCCTAAACATAATTAGATTGTACAACTGTTGTTTAGTTCCATTATTTTAACCAAACCCCTTATATTTTCATTTATTTTCTTCACTTCCAGATCTTCATGTCGGTGGTGCGTTGGTTGAACTACAATTGGGAAGAACGCGAGGCGGATATGCTGCAGGTTGTGAAGTGCGTACGTTTCAGCTTGATGCCACCGTGGTTTCTTGTGACACTCAACAAAAATATTGATTGCGTTGAGATCGATCGTATTGCTAGTCATCCGGAGGTTAAACGCATGATCAACGACGGCATCTCGTAAGTGAAGCCGCCTCTGGCACTCCTAAACTCTGCCTAATTTTTATTTTATTCTCTACAATTCTTTCCAGCTATACGACCACTCAATTATACTATGGTGAAAATCGTGAAGAGTTCTTGCATTTCCTGGAACGCTACCAGCTCGTTGCACCGGTTCAACGTCAGTGGGTTTTCGACAAAGAATGCAGCTACCACCATCGGCTCGAATGCCCGAATATGCAGTATGTGACATACAAATCTTATCTAGAATATCTGGAGATGATCCATACGATTGGCAAGGATTATTGGCGCTCGCTGGAAATGGCTAAGGGTGTGGAGAAGTCGATGCAGTGTTGCGTACGCTCCGATTGCCGCAAATTGAACGAGCAAAATTTAGTATGTTAATATATTTTCTAGTCACTTACCAACACCAAATCACCTATTTTAGAAGACAACTTACGCGTATACGAACTAAATATATACATATTGCAAGTAAATATTGTTAGAAGATTTGATTTATAAAAATTTTTGTTGAAATTTGTGATTTGGCATTTTATTCGAAAATTATTGTGACTCAATTTATATATAATTAAATCTTAAAAAAAAAAAAATTAAATAAAGACTACTGATGATTAAAATTGAGACCGAGATTTCATTTCCTATTCTTTTTCTTCTCTCTGCATTCCAGGCCAGCGTTTTCACAATGCAATGTCGCGATCAGGGCGTACAAGTTGAGACCAGTTTAAGGCAACGTAAACCGGTTTTTCGAGGTAAATAGGTAGTACTTTAATTAAGTTTAGCTTATTGCTGAAAATATTAACGAGTATACTCATAGTCAAAGTTATATAAAACTCGTATGCATTCGTCCTGATTTACACTATAATGTTACAAGCTTCTCGAATCGAAATTCTATTAATTTCGCACTCTGGAACAAGTGAAACAGTAGTACTTATGCAATCCTCTGTACGTGCTCACTTTGTCTCTAAAATACTTAGTTTAAGGTGGTTTAGAGATAAAACTCTCAAGTTGCGTATACTGGCCTGGAGAGGTTTCAGTAAGCCGAAATCACTTAGATTTAGTAATCTTTCCCAAAGATCCATCACAGGTTTTAGCAATGTCTGAATAATGAAACATATAGGCTTCTCACGCGCCTAAGTTTTTTACCTTGATAAAGTGAGCTGAAGTGTTTTTGAACACTACTATGTGGATCTAAGTTCACTAAAATTTAAAAATACTTAAACTTGGTGGGACCGATGTGGCATAACAGTGTGTCCACACTGCAAGACCGGGGTTCAATGAAACATTTTGACTGAAGTTCAAAAAATAATCGCAGTCACCCTTTGCCAGGGGCTATTTTTTATATGATACAGTCTCGCATGCATTTAGAGCTGCCGAGAACTTGAACGGCTCACCTTTTATTGAACAATATCTAAAGATTCTTCTCAAATAAGATAATAAACTTAGCTAAGCTTACAGAAAGGGTCTACTATCCAGCTATGTACAATATGTATGTGTTTCTACACTTTTCAGATCAACGTTGTTTTGGTGACCACATGACCACCATGGTGAATTCGGCGAGTCTGAAAAACCTCAGCAAAATAACAACAAGTCAAGTGTTGCCTTCTACCGCCTCTAGCTGCTATGAGTTTCCATATAGGCTGCAACAGGATCAACTACACCACAAACGCCATCGATATCCGCAACGATATGCACAATTTCAAGAACTAGATCCACAGCCATTTAAGTACAGTTACCAATGCAGCAACGCAAACAACAATAACAACGAGAACAAAGCAATTCCGAGTGAATTGCATGAGATGAAATATGACGTTCAACGCATATTGAATGATGACTGCGAACAAAACATTGAAGTGCATCATTGTATTGAGGATGGTTGCATGCAACGTGGCGTCTGTACTATCGCCGACGGCACAATCGACGGGCCTAAGACAATGGCACAGCCGACGCGTTTGCATACCAAGCGGTCACAAAAGCCATGCAACAATGGCGGTGACTCGAAGACGACAGTTTTGCCACGTATAGAATGTCGCAATGAGCCGCCTATGGGGCAGCAGGAGCGGCAGCAACATGTGACACAAATAGTGCAATCACCACAGTTTGGTTTGCCCACAGTCGAGGAAGTGGAGTTTAAAGCGTGAGTTACGTAAATATATTTGTATGTATATGAAGTGTCGAGATTTTTCATAAATATTTTGTTTGGCTACTTTAAAGCATCAAAGGTCGTAAGATTCTCATATTTGGTGGCATCGATCCGTACTGTCAGCATTGCCAGCAGGATAAAGTTATGGCATTGCAACAACAAGAGCAACGCAAACGAACACAAACTTTGGTTGGCAGCGATGCTGATATTTTGGATCCGTTGCATTATCATAACGGTATTGGTGGTTGTAGCGCTTGCGGCGGTCTTAATCCTCAAATCAATCAGATGGATAATTTTGGTGATCGTGTGCTGTACTACGATGCTGGCGCGTTGCAGTGGAAACATTTGTGTTATTTGCCCTTCGGTTCACGTCATCATCATGCAGCTGTTGTCTGCAACGGACTCATCTATATTATAGGTGGCACGAAGACGGCGCTAGGTTGCACTAAAAAGTCGGTGAGTTGCATAGACTCTCTCTGACTATTCTAGCGATTCGGTTGAATTTATGGGAATTGAGAAGTGGATAATGGCTTGAAAGGTTTTGCAACGGTCTATGGACTTATTGATATTAGTCAAGATCTTTTCTTAGAATGCGAATCCAAATCTCAAGTTAAGAGTTAAATGGTTGGCACGACAGTCACGAAAGAAACTAACGAGCTCATTGAGTTAGAAACGAAAATTATAGAAAAATTGAGTTTGCCTTGTTATTGAAATCTTAATTTCAAATTCATCATAATTATTTCTTTTCTTAATTTAAAATCGTCTTCTCTGATCTCCAAATTGTACTTAACAGACGAAGTCATGACTACTAGGTATATATTTTTCATAACTTCGTTATTTCTTCTAAGAACTACTGAGAAAACAAAAATAATAGAAATAGTAGTCGCATACGAGTATTTCGCTAAAAAAGAGATAAAAAATCTATGTACACTTTTCATACAGTGTCGCCAGCAGATCCAAAGTCTGCGGATCTCGTTTTCGACTAATCTAAACACTCTTTTTAGTCCTTGAAGTCTGCCATACTTGTATTTAGTATTTAGTTTATTTTTATTAACCCTTTTAAGATCTAGGGTGGATCGTGGGCTACTAGGTTAATCGAATCATATGTAATATATCGACTGTGATAAGGCACCTTAAGTGCATAGAATTGTTAGATCATCCATACCTATACATGAGATGAGAGGAAGTAATAATTTCTCTTGTGGAACTGATAAAATCCTCAAGGTTCTCTAACTAAATGTTTTTTAAATTATACCTTAAAAGGCTAAAAACTTGTATACGTAACTGTATTTATATGAAATACTCACATTTTGACTCAGTGAAAAACTGAGAGCATCGAATAATTTTTAGGTTGATTTTCCGAATTTAATTTCGCATATTCCAAAAACTTTATATTTTATAGATTTTCGAAAAATCGGTCTGGAGCTTCGATCCACTGACTCTGAAGTGGACATTTGAGAGTAATTTACCAGAGTTGCGACGCGATTTCGCGGCGATTGTGTCTGATGAGTACTGTGGTGGCGAAGTGGCGTGCGAACATTGCAAAGGCATAAAAGAACAGCACAGGCAAAGGAATATCAAAGCAGTTAACGGTTTCTTCGTGATTGGTGGAGAAGGGGTGAATGGTACCGCTTTGCGTACAGTGTGGTATTACAATGTTGTGCGCAAAACATGGAAAAAGGTAAATAAATTAGCGAAGTTCATTTTTTAGTCAAGAAGGAGCGAAAATAAAAATAATCAAAAACCATAGAAATAGATGTTGCGACAGTTTCGCTTTATTACTATTTTGTTTCGGGTTTGACAGAAAAACACATTAGCTAGTGACGTCATGGTGGCAATCTTAACATATACTTGTACTATGGAAGTTTGATAGTTCGTTTCGTTTACGATGTTGCGTGATATCTGATAATACGAAAAATCAAAAAAAAAAAATATCAACTGAATATTTAAAAAATATTTTTGCTTTCGTTTAATGACTTTCAATTATTGAACGTATCAACTGTCATGACAAATAACTTAAATAATTTACTTAAAATACAACTATAATTCATAGGGACTCTAAACATCTACAAAAGTACAAGTGTTTTCTCATATCCGACTCGCTCTTCCTCTCGCAAAACACAATCAAACACATATGTACACTGGTTTATGACTGTTTAACTGCATTGCCTGTCATTTATGGATTTTAGAAAGCCCCTTTGCATGTGGGTCGCTACGGCTTGATGGCTGCTATGGTGAATAACGAGATTTGGATAGCTGGCGGCATAATCGAAACCAAAACGAGAGCATCCGACAACTATGATGGCTTCGTCGCTACTTCAATGCCGACCGTGGATGGTAATAATCAAGGTGGCAGGGGTGCTGCCATAGATGGTGCCGATGGTGGCGGGGCCAGAGATAACAATGGTAGTGGTGACAGTTTTGCTGTCGAGGCAACAAAAAGTGCAGTCGTGGATGTAATCACCGATACGATGGAGTATTACAGTTTGAAGTGTGCTTACAGCGACGAATACGTTTCGGATGTGCCAATGGCTAAAGTCAATGATGTGAATAGTGATGCTGCCGTAGTTGCTGGCGCTGGTGATGGCACTCAACCCACTATTGGACGGATGGGTAGAAGCTTTGAGAGTGGACGTTGGATTAAAGCAAAGCAGCGTTTGCGCATACCCCGGTAAGCGGTTTAAATTTCGATTTTACGACAAAATACTCTTGTGGATTTCAACAAATATTGAGTGGCATTTGCGCTAGATTAACTTTGTTGTGCAGTTGGAGGGAGCCATAGAGCGGTATGCATACAATACTGACATTTGTTCAGTGAAATTGTTGATTAATTTATGACGGGTTTGGTTTTTGAGTGAATATCTTTATAAAAAGAAGTATCCAGAGTAGTGAATTAAAAAAAGATCAGGACAATATTAAAAAACATATGGAGAGCGCATTTTTTGCAATATATCGGTCTTTTTAATAGTAGCTAGTTCGACAAAGAAACCGGATATACATTTGTTCCATCCTGGTTTTCTAGAAAAATTAAAGCAATACTTTATGAGAGTCGCCAATATGAAACTACATGGGATAATAGGGGCGAAAAACGGTTCTATAACGGTTTTCTGTTCTACAGTGAACTTATGTAATAGATTCGATCTTTTTCCAGTAACCATTTACTTGGGTTCCAAGGACAGGAAATACAACTCACACCTAAATATTTATAAGGAACAGCCATATAAAACAGCATAGTATAGTAGGAGTTAACAAGGGTTCTATTACATTTTTTGTGCTAGGAGGAACTTATTTTTTGAAAAATCCGATTTTGTTCCAGCAACCACTCTCTTGAGGTCTAAGCACAGAAAATGTAACTCACATTCAAATATTCATGAACGATATACTCAATTGTCACTGTCCTTGGATCAATTTCACTTTAGGGTCATTCAACATCATTTGTGGTAAATTTATGTTTTCATCCGTAACAGCCAATCATCGCCTTCGAGGCTTACGAGCATATGGCCACTAACGTATATTTGCTTCGCTTGGCGCGGATCCCGCGTAACACCAGTTTCATCAACATAGGATCAAAATTCCAAAGTCATGGTACTCCAAATGCTATATCTCTCGCACCAATTATCCGAAAGCTGTGAAATGAATATATTCAATAAATGAAATAAGTAGACCTCAACCCTGTACAATAATATTATTTAAATATTTGTTGTGATTCTTTCTCCATTAACTAATGTAACCCATTTTTCGTTTACGGCTTACTTCACCTACTGCTAACGAAATAACTTAGTGGACAAACTTGAAAAAAGGTTCAGAAGTTCTACCTCTCAACTTCACTCAATATTTGAAAGCTCAAAAATCTAAACTATGGCTACTACTATAGTTTAAACTTTTGAGCTCAAATTCTGTTAAAATTTTTTTTTTTTTAATATTTTATTAATCTTTTTAGATTATTTGGAAAATTCTGTAGACCTTCGGACAATGAACTTTACCTTGTCGGTGGTATAGGATTTGATTCGAATAATATACTGACATCTTTATCCTCCGTTGACCACTACGACTTTAGCGAAGGTCATTGGCATCATTATGGCGATATTAAATGGGCCAGGTACGTAAAATATTACTAATGATCGACTTTTAACAGGCTTTTGCTTACATTGTTACCTAGGTTATAACTTGTGAGCAATGTAAGTTGGTCATTAAAAAACAATTAGTTATATAATAATACTTTTACTTTGTTGTTACTCGCGCTTTTACGAAACAGTTACTAACTTTTGTGCTTAACTCTTTTTATTATGCAACAGTCACTTCATTCATTAATTTCCGCATTTACCTAACTTTAGACATGGGCATGATATTGCCACGCTTAATGACCGAATTGTTATTGTTGGTGGCGTCTCCACCATCAAGAAACGCACGCTGACTAAGGTGGAAACGTTTTGCATGGAAACGCGCAGAAACTTCAAGGATATGCCTGAGTTGCCGTGGCCGTTGTCTGGATGTGCTGTGCTCGCTTTGGACTAATATGTTTAGAGAAGCTGGTGCGGGTAGAAAAAGGAAAGTACTCAATGACAGAAAATGTTATTGACATACTTTGGTTTGCGAGTTATTTTATTACTTATACATTTATATATTTGCATTTAATTGTTTACAGAAATATATATTCCACATGTTCTAAGTTCTATTAGCTGTTGTTTTTGTTAAGTACGAAACCTTGTCGAGCGTTCGCTTTATTTACAAATTAAGAGTCTCGTATAAAATTGACAGCAGTCATTGCTTAATTTGACAGTTATCAATGGTTCGTGGAATACTGTGTTTGCGAGCACATTTATAGAACTGACTTGTTAATGATTCAAAAAAATTAATCATTAATCCATTTTATATAATTTATATGCGTATTATTTAATATCACTTACTCCTACTCTCTGAAATAACTTGAGCAATTCGACTCCGATTTAATACGTTATTTTTTATTTTTGCTCGCAATGAAACCGAACCGCTGCCTCATTTATCTTCGCTGTTGCGCTACAATATTTCATGGTGCCTCCTGTTGCCTCATGGAATCGATGTGCGTTGTTTGTACGCGCCCACGCAAGTCTGTTTTGTTTTTACCTCTTATATAATATGTTAACTTATTCGAGCAAACCCTGCAGGGAAACGGATACAACTCAGACGAGTTTCTAATTCCGAACATTTTTCCAAACTCGGTGCAGGTTGCTTGAACTCGATTTTTTCGTGTTTGGTAGCTGGTTTTTGCATTCCGAATCCATTATTCAAAATCTGCGTAAAACGAATTTTAATGTAAAATCAGGAAATTCTAAAAAAATATTTTATATAAATGTGAGATACGAGCTTCCAAGAATGTCCTTGAAAGCCAATTTTTGGAACGAATCACTTTTAACAGTAATAAGATTACAAAAGCCATACATTATATTTTTGCATTTTCGAATTTAAGTTCTTTGGAGCAAACCAGAATTATTTTAATGACCATTTACACATTAACTTTGAATTCAAAATTAGTTCTAAATAACTTAAAATATGACTTTCACTTATAACAATTTAATAATTAATGTCGTTTAATGTTCGAAAATGCTGACAGCTCTCTTAAAACCAACAACTTGTTGAAAGACTTTGACAGAATCATGAAATCGATAAATAAATATGAGAAACATGAACTTTCCAATCGAGTTGCAAAATATATATATGAGCTCTGTTCAAGGCAGTCACAGCCTTAAAAATAAAGGGAACACTGATAATGGCGTAATGACTTTCAAAAAAAAAAAAATTATTCGAAAGAAATAAAATATGGTAAAAAACAAACAATAATTTAATAAAAAATCAAAAACGATAAAAATATGATGAACAATACCCGCACAACTATAAAGTGCATCTAAGGTTATATTTTAATTCACTCTTTCAAAATTTTAAACTTTATTTTTTATAGTATTGAAAATTTATGCAAATTCTACGAAATCCTTACCTCAAATTTGTCAGTTGCTTATGTCGAACAGAGCGTTTTCCTTTAGGGTACTTATGAGTATATTTTCATATATTTACTTATGCAGATACTCATACTTGTATGTAAGGGCAGCAGCTGTTAGTTTAAGGAAAAGAACAAAAAAATAAACAATGTCGACATCAGAGTTGCAGCGCGCCGGTAACAGTCGCCGTTTCCGTATCCTTTCGCTTCCGCTTGACACCATGTTGATGATTGTTGCCTTGACAGCATCATTTATTTAAAACACTTTTCAAGTAAAAATGCTAAAATTGACAGCTCTGATGTTGAAGGCGGCAAATATTGGTAGAGGGAGAAACAAATACAATAAAAAGTAAATAAAACCGCTCACACAAAAAAAAATTACATCAAGGCATAACTACAAACATAACGTTTGCGCTTGGAAGTAAGAAAAACTAATGTAAATATGTATGCTGGCAGCTATATTCTATATAGTACATTATATAATATATGTGTATATAAGTAATCCATGGAAATTATGTAGGACGGGAAGTCCAAATTCTCATGGTCATTTGATTTGACAGATAACAGGAATAAAAGAAAATAGCCTTGCTGAGACAATGAGAAAAGTAAAAAGCTTATAACAATAATTTGTGTTTATCATCATTAACTAAAATGGCAACAACGATAACAAAAAGGTGGCAAAATAATGTAGGATGCCTAAATGGAGGAGATCGCAGAGGGGATTTGCTAGATGGTAGCGAAAAAAAAAGAGTGTGCACATCAAATAAATGGGCAACTACTTGTACAATATATGGTTTGTATCGTTCGTAATGACGGCAAGGTGACTAAAATGGTACAAGAAAGGTGCTTGAGATAAGATGCCAACAATAGAATTAAATTATAAAGAATCAATTTTGATATTATTTGTTAACTGAAATCAACAACTCGAATTCGGACCGAAATCAAGAGCGCAAAGTCTTTACTTTTTTAAGAGGAGTCGAGAAAATTTTCCAGAAATATAAAAATACATTTGAGGAATATTTATTTGAATCGATGATGACGCAGTGTTACCACCAATATTAGATAATAAAAAAATAAATCATCGAATATGATTACATCATCCATCCATAGGTTGAGAATATGTGTGAAATAAACTCTTTACCATTCATTCACCTACCATTTTAGATCTATTATTTAAGAAGCCTCTAAGGAAATTAATACAGTTTCATTTCAAAATTTTAAATTTTCATTTATTTTTTTCTGATATTATGCTCAATAAACTTTTATCCTTCATAGACTGCCAGTTTAAAATTAGCCCACTGTAAGCTAACCATCTTACTTAGTTAGAAAATTGTGTAGGTGTCCAATTAAATGGAATGAAAAGAAAATAAACTTCTGAGACGGTAGTTTTTATGGCAATAGCAGTAGCATAGTCATTAATTTTGCAATTGGTTGATGGTACGGCTATAAACCATGTCGGTCAATATGGTTTCCCCGTGGGAGGAATAGAAAAAAATGCTCATAATAAAACCCTATTGTATAAGAAACTAAAGCCGACTACAAAATGAATGCATAGAAATGATTATAAAAAAAGAAGTTGTGGTTCTTCTAAGATTTCTCGAAAACTGTTTGTTTTAATAATAAAATATTGAAAATTTAATACTTTCAGCAGAAATAATTCTTAAACCAGTTTAGCTTGCTGCTTGTATAGCAATATGCCATTTATTTTGACAATTTAGACTTGAATATCACATTTAAAAAATATTGACAACCCTTCACACAAATATTTTCAGCTTTAATATATCTGAAAACTGTGTAGTTTATACCAATGTTGTAATAATTTTTCCATAACATCAATTTCAGTGGAAAGATATTTTTAAATAGGTGGCAACTCTTAACAAAAATATTTTTAGTTATAAGCTTTCTTTTAGCTGTAAGCTTAAACCCTTTTTTTTTTTGGGTTTTTTGTTAATCAAATATTTGAACAGGTGGCAGCCCTTCATGAAAATATTAAAATTTATGATCTATAGCTATTTGAAACGTTTTCACACTGTATATGTAAAATATTTGGACTTTTAGCTTTTTTTAAACGTTTCAGTATGTATTATATTCATCTTAACAATTTTTATTACTGAGAATTACCAAACAGGTGGCAATACTTAAATTATTGCTTAAAATTATCAAGGTACCTCCTGCGTATATTCCAAAAAATTTATAGAACTGATTTCAACCTTCATTTTGGCGCTTTTTTTTTTAATAGCGTGACTAATTTTCGTTTCGTCACACAATTATGTTGCAAATTAAAGGAATGTAATGTAAACAATACAAAATTTTAGTTTATAATTTAAAATATTAACATTTATTAAATTAAAGGCTTTTAAGAATTATAATATTTGGCACGAAAGTCTTGATTCATAATTTCTAATACAAAATTCTTTCCAAGTGAAATTGATAACCTTTTCCTTTTCAAAATGTATATTCTAATTTAAGCCAGCAGAATTGCTGCATATGTTTTAATGCATATACATGCAAAGATGGTGATTTAGGAACTGAGAGTCAGAGAGGAAGGGTAAATATGAGAACACAAAGGCACAGCTGCCATTTGCACGTGTAACCACTTCAAAGGTTGACCTGCTATCATATGCATAAATATTTACCTATGAAACAACAAATACATACATACATATCTTTAACTATGTGAACAAAAAGATTTGAGTGTGTGTGTGTAAAGGCATGTCACGTAACTCTTTAACTGTAAAAATGAGATTAGTTATTTGAGTAGTTATACATGGACTAGTTTAAAAGTGTCTACATTTTAACAAAACAAAAGAAATTGTATTAGCAAACAGTTTCATACATTACCTCATCCAAGAGGTTTCCGAAATTTGATACTACAATTAATATATATTATATATAATATAATTTCCTCTAAAAGTCTGGAAAAAAAATTGCCAAGGTTAAAGTCCACCAGCTGGAGCCAGTTGCATTTACTGCAGGATATTTAATCCGACATCAATACACACACGCATACAAACAACAGAAGCTATCCTTCGTAGAGGTTGAAGTGCACACACATACGTGTGTTATTACACAAAAATAATATTTATATACAGTTATGTATCTATAAATATGTCCGCCACTGTATGCTTGCATACATAAATAAGATTTACTAGCGCTGTAAATTGCAAAGTATTCAAGGTCAGTGGTGAAATTAACAGTGAAACGAAAAAGTATGTGCATAGCAATTTTAATGAAACGAACACACATACATACACTCGTACATATGTGTATATCACATACCGAAAAATGACAAAAACATTTGCTGTCGTTGAGCGAAAGTAAAAATCGATGAATCTTAAGTGCAACCTCTTGAAAAGCTCTCGAAGGACTTCAATGCTTTTGTATAGTAGGAAGTGATTGCTAAAAGCAAATCTACGAGTGCTAGATTGCTCGCTACAAGGACTTGCAGTGAGTAGAAAAAGTCTACGATAGAAATTCAATTCTTACTGCGACGCGAAATAATTATTCTGAATTGATTTTTTTATCGAAGGTACTGAAAAAGAAAAAAACAATAATGAGAAAGCTTTCACTTACAACCAGCTTTTCCATTAAGCACTTCATGGTTCAGCCCTAATGTGCTTATAATTGTAATTGGGTAACCAAGGCAACGCATACCCGAAAACTTTCACTTGCGAAATTAATTAAAATTGTTTGCTTGCTCAAATAGAGGCGATGTCAAAAACAAAAAACAAAAGCAGAAACTGAAATCTAAAGTTGCACAAAAAAATAGAAGTTCAAAGAAGCAGAAACAAAGAAAAACAATAAAAAACGTTAACTTCGGTTGCAACGCAGCTATAATACCCTTTACAAATACAAAAGACTCCTTACAACAACCGGATTTCGATCGGTTCGTTTGTATATGCCATAGTTATTCGATATCGGTGGTTTCTACGAAAAAGTAGCTTTTTGAAGAGGAAAATCTCAAAAACTGAGGGACGAACGGGCATGGCTAAATCGCCAATTATTTGTATATACTCGTGTGTTGTAAAGGTCCTCCTAGGTGTAAAAAACTTCGTGATAAACTTAATATACCCTGTTAAGGGTATAAAAACAAGTAAAGTACGGCTAGATTCGATTGCAATCCCAATGAAGGGAAGATGTAAAATAATTCACCTATATTAATTTTTAAACATTTTAAAGGTTTCGCTTAAAAGAATTCGCTAATCGTGAATGCCATCTGCTAATAAAATAATAATAATAAAATAATTTTGAATACTTTTAAAAAGTATTTATTTATTCATCAATAACTATTTTCTCCCCTTCAAAGTAATCCCCTTTGGATATAATACACATGTGCCAACGCTTTTTCCAATCCTCGAAGCACTTCTGAAATGCGCTCTTTCTTTCAAAAGTCAAAAATCGAAGAACACACTAACATGTGACTAACCTTTTCTGTTGTCAATAACAAACTACTAGTCGAAATTGGCTCCTAATACAAGCACATGATAAACATATGTGTCCGAATGTAACAAAAACAAAATATCGATAATCGAATGTACACAGCTCGCGAAAAATCAAAATTCATCTCTTCCTATAAACATACGTATACGGTGTGCGACAAAACTAGAGCCCGCAATCG